GAGCTGAGCATGGGGCCAGAGCTGCCCACCAGCCCGCTGGCCATGGAGTACGTCAACGACTTCGACCTTCTCAAGTTCGACGTGAAGAAGGAGCCGCTGGGGCGTGCGGAGCGTCCTGGCCGGCCCTGCACACGCCTGCAGCCAGCCGGCTCGGTGTCGTCCACCCCGCTCAGCACACCCTGCAGCTCGGTGCCTTCTTCGCCCAGCTTCAGTCCGACCGAGCAGAAGACCCATCTCGAGGACCTGTACTGGATGGCGAGCAACTACCAGCAGATGAACCCCGAGGCGCTCAACCTGACGCCCGAGGACGCCGTGGAGGCGCTCATCGGTTCGCATCCAGTGCCACAACCGCTGCAGAGCTTCGACGGCTTCCGTAGTGCGCACCACCATCACCACCACCACCACCCTCACCCTCACCACGGGTACCCAGGAGCCGGTGTAGCTCACGATGAGCTGGGCCCGCACGCTCACCCGCATCACCACCACCATCACCAAGCGTCGCCGCCGCCGTCCAGCGCTGCCAGTCCGGCTCAACAGCTGCCCACCAGCCACCCGGGGCCGGGACCGCACGCAGCGGCCGCAGCGACGGCTGCGAGTGGCAACGGGAGCGTGGAGGACCGCTTCTCAGACGACCAGCTGGTGTCCATGTCGGTGCGTGAGCTGAACCGCCACCTGCGGGGCTTCACCAAGGACGAGGTGATCCGCCTGAAGCAGAAGCGGCGGACCCTGAAGAACCGGGGCTACGCCCAGTCGTGCAGGTATAAACGCGTCCAGCAGAAACATCACCTGGAGAACGAGAAGACGCAGCTCATTCAGCAGGTGGAGCAGCTTAAGCAGGAGGTGTCCCGGCTGGCCCGAGAGAGAGACGCCTACAAGGTCAAGTGCGAGAAACTCGCCAACTCCGGCTTCAGGGAGGCGGGCTCCACCAGCGACAGCCCCTCCTCTCCCGAGTTCTTTCTGTGAGTCGTGGCGGGTCCCGGCCCTCGCCCTTGCCCTGGCCCTGACTCCCTGTCCTGTGCCCCTAACCCTGGACTCCCTGTCCCTGCCATGGCCCTGGCCTTGACCTGTTTGACTCGAAAGAGGGAGGAAGGACGTGCCGGCCGCGGGCGACGGGCGGGAGCGCGGGCGGGTAGGCAACCTTGGCTCAGAAGAGAGCAGCTCAGGCCAGCGCAGCCTGCTAGACTTGGGCAGAGTCAGAGAGACCGGGGAGGGTGGGAGGTCCCGGAGTAACTTTTCTCCAGGCTGGAAGGCCGCGAGGCATTTTCCAAGGAGTCGCCAAAGCCGTCTGGACACTTCTGGCTCTGGGAACTTTGGGAGTGCCAGGGCCGCCGATTCGCAGCCCAGAGCTCAGTTCGCCCCAGGAAGAGCAGAGGAGAGGAAAGGAGAGGAGAGGGACTCTGGAGTCCCCTAGGGCGAGAGGCAAGGCTGAGCTAAGGAAGGAAGAACAGACAGATCTGTCTGTCCAGAGTCCGGAGAACACTGGCTCTCAGCCGGAGACGCCGGCCTCTGTTAGGACATTCGGCGCGCGAAGAAAAAAAAAAATCTCATCAGTTTTATTGCCTGCTCGATTATATAGAAAAATACGAAAATCTGCATTAAAAATATTAATCCTGCATGCTGGACATGTATGGTAATAATTTCTATTTTGTACCATTTTCTTGTTTAACTTTAGCATGTTGTTGATCATGGATCATAACCCCCTTGTTTCTTTGAGTGAGAAGGGATGCAGTTCCAAAACTCCTGCGGCTGCGAAAGAGCGGAGTTTCAGTCGCCGGCCGGCTTGTAAATTACCCGCCTGGCCAAACCACACTGAGAACGTAGCAGCAAGCTGAGTCTTTGTTTGGGTTTATTATTATGGCATTTTTGTTTGTAAGTGAAAAATAAAAGAAAGCTAGAAAGCAACCAACTTTGTCTTGGGGAACCTTTGGAATTTGGATATTCGGTCCCCCTTTCCTTCCCATTTTAGTTTTCAGTTTCGTTGGTTTTGAGGGAAAGCTTGTAAGGGAGAGACAGCTGTGGATATCCACACTTTGGGTGCAGGAGCGTGTCCTCTACCCGGTCTTCTGACCAAATTGACCTCCCCGCCCCCAACCCACCCCCAAGAAGAAAAGGAAAGAGACCGGCTCCTTGGCTTTGCATCTTAAGGAGTCAACCCAGGGTTGGCTTGCAATCCTCCAGGAAGGCGCTAATTGCAAGCGTGTCTCCCTCCCCCCCCCCCCCCCCCCCCCCCCCCCCCCCCCCCCCCCCCCCCCCCCCCCCCCCCCCCCCCCCGTTGAGGGTGAAAGGATTCTCCCACCTCTTGCTATTTGTCAATGATGACCTGAGCTCCTATCGAACTAAATGCCATTCTCAGAATGTACCAGAAACCCACACATTGACAAGTATGCTGCAACTTTCAAGTGCGCTCTTTAGACCAATGCATATATGTTTCCCTGCTGTCGGGATAGCAGGGACAATTATTGGTGGTGTTCCCACTCCCTTCGGTTGTACAGTTGTTATAGGGGAGGTCTGGGTGTTTTTCTTTATTGTTACTTTCATTTCTGCGGGTCAGTAAAAGAATTTAAGTTGCACTGACAAAAATACCAAAATGAAAGCTTACTTTTTTAAGTTCCCATCTGAATTTGCTGGCGCTGCTGGCTGGATGCTTTTTTGTTTGTTTGTTTTTGAGTTTGTATTAGTTGATAAATTTACAGTAATAACAAGATTGTATGAACCGCATGGTGCTTGCAGTTTTAAATATTGTGGATATTCGTCCTGCATCGGAAACGAGCTTTGGTTTTTACTGATTCAACTGTGTTGAAATCAAACTTGCAGCAACGCAACAGAAATTGTTTTTAATTTCATGTAAAATAAGGGATCAATTTCAACCCCTGCTTATGATATGAAAATATTAAAATCTAGTCTTATTGTAGTTTTAATTCAGACTGGTTTCTGTTTTTTGGTTATTAAAATGGTTTCCTATTTTGCTTATTAAAACCATGGAAATGGTGTTTATTTAGAGGACTCCGTGTTTGCATGACTTCAACTCTCTTATTTCTTCAAGAATTTCTCGTGTTTATCAAGTTTGGGACATTGTCTGGCAATGGACCCCAAACCAAGGGCGGGCAGATCATTCCCTCCAGTGTATGACTCAATGTGTTATATGTGAGCCTCATGTGTTCTCTGCTTTCCACCCAGGTTCAGACCCAAGTCCATCTGTACGCTGAGAGGGGGCATATCTGAAAGAGACACTCTACAGTGCTTTCAGGCTTGGCGATCATGATCAGGATTGGGCTGCTAGCCGGCCTGCCGCTGGGGTAGTGAACCATAGAGGCACAGAAATCAGAGCTGCCTCCTGGATAGAGAAAGCCAGGTGTTTTCTTCCTTCCTTCTTTCCTTCCTTCCTTCTTTCCTTTATTTTATTTATGTATTTATTTATTTTTTGAGTTCAGGGCCAGCCTAGCTGTAGTCCTTGCCTTCCTGTCTGGGTGTTTAGGTCTCAACTTCCTTCAGCCAGGAACTGGGCAGCTTAGAACTAGGCTGCAGGCTCTGAAATAAGGCTTTCCCCAAGGTTGATGGAAGCAGTGATACCTGACACTACAACTTGGGATGCAGGACCCTCCTGGTAGGAAACCCCTCGGATGTTTCTTCCCAGATTAATATGTTCAGGGTGCACAGGGCCATCAGCCCTCAAAAAACAAACAAACACGACACTGCATAGAGGAGCTTGGATGTCAGTATCTCTTAAAATTGGAGGCTTGGAGGGATTTAGGTGACTCCACCCAGCCACTCTAATGGTACCTGAAGACTCCCAACATGGAAGTGGCCCTGGACTGCTTCCCTTTCCCTGGTCCTTTGAAGGTCAGTGCCTACCTTGTGGTCCACACTCCTGGCAGCCTTGTTAGAATCCTGCCTATGATTTAGATAGTCTTTAGACCGACCTCTCTCTGGTATTGGAGCAGAACACCCAGACCTTAGAGGAGGTCTACCCTTTTGGTAGTGGCTAGCTCTTTGTGGAACTTGCAGCTTCTGTGTGGATTTGACTCTGCCTTCTTGGTGCTGGAGTTCCTAACATGGAATTTCAGGATCCAGATGGGGAGGTTAGAGACCCAAGCAGGGGAGCCCAGGGAGGAGGTAGCCAGGAAAAGAAGAGGAGAGTGAAACTTGGAGCAAATTTTGTCCAGGATCCCTGGAAATTGGGCTCACGATTGACATCTGAGGAAGAAGTTTGGGGACCTAGAACAAACAAACAAACAAACAACTAGCAAAATAACAGTAACCACAATACACACCTGTAGTGCGTTGGTGGTGTGATTCCAGCTCCAAGTGATTTCCCAAACCCATTCCATTTTCCCAGTGGAAACAAGGTTTGGCAAGGAAGGCTTTGGCCTCCATTTGGAAAAAGGCAGCTGAGCCTGTTTCTCCCATGTGTAGGTGGGTGTGATCCATTTGTAATTCCATATGCAAGTGCCACTACAGGTACTGATATGTCCCCTTCAGAGAAACAGGCCTCTGTTAGAGTTGGGGTATCTGAAGAGACTCCCTGCAGTAATAAAAGGGGATCAGGAACTTCTTGTGGCAGAGCCTTTAAACCTAATTCTGTCTAGAACCCTTCTGAATAGACTACCGTTGTCCACTTCTGCCCTTGCCTAGATTTTAGGAAAGGTTGTAAATTCCAAGGATAGACACACCCAGTGAGGTCACCATCACGGTGCATCCAGAAAGAACAAGGAGTGCCACCCGTTTAGAGTGGCCAACTGCATTTGGGGATGAGATTCAAGGCGGTGACACGTTGTCACACCAAGACAGGGGCATTCACACGGATGGCCATGCCGGCAGGCACTTCAGTGCCTGCCTGCTCACCCCTTGAATACTAACTCGCCCCGGGGCACAAATGGGGAAAAGCTGGGTAGAGCCCACAGCTCTTTGGAGAAGGCCAGAGCTTGTGGAGTCTCGAGAGAGTGGCGTGCTCTTGAGAGCGGGCTCCTATAGCAAGCAAGCCCTCTTCTTGCCGCCGGCCATTCGGACCGGCTAGGATGCCATCAGCCGGGGAAATGGGAACTGGATACCCAAGACCTCCGCGGTGTCCCCGTCGGTACTCTGAAACCTTTATAGTTCTTTTCGGTTTCTATTTCTCCCTACTGCTAGAGGGCAGGCAGCTCGGGATTCTCTACTACCCGCCACCCCCTGAAAGAAAAGTTCTTCCTGCACCAAAATCTTCCAGGCTTCCACTGATCCCACGTAGACAAGCTGGCGCCTGCAGACAGAGACGCACCCGGAGACAGAAACGCACAGACACCAACACCGGGAAGCACTCAGTGGGCACTCCATAGGCTCTGAGAATTGGGCTCTATCTTGGGTGGCCTTCTTTGCTGGGGCAGCTGCGGCCCTACCACGGGCTGGGCGCTGTTGGGTGTCTTCGTCCCCAGATCTCACCGGCTTGAAGAACCAGGGACAACCGCCGCTGCCACATCCTTCAGTTCGGTGGGGGAGGCGCTCAGGTGCCTGAGGTTCGAGCAAATCGGCTACCTTCCTTATGTTTGTGTTTCTCTCTGTATGCGTGTCTCAGTCTGCCCCCTCCTCTCTCCTTCCCCCTCCCCTTTCTTTCTGTTCTGGCCTCCAGCCCACTCCCCATTTTCCATATCTTTAACTTTTCCTTCCTAATCTCTCTTTTGTTTACTTCCCTGCCCTTTATTCCAGGGCAGCCTGAAAGGGTATCCAGAACTGGTCCTGAGATCTCTCTAGCCAAGCAGGAGGAATGAGGGATGGAAAGGCGGGTCTGCAGTCTGGGAATTGCCTCGTAGTGTTCGGCACCTGCACTGTTTAGGGTCGGGTCTTCACTTTGCCAACACTCCAGTTTCATTCCATTCCAGTGTCCCTCGCTGTGGTTGGCTGGGGCCTGCTGGCTGGCCAGGGGATGTTCAAATCTCTGGGAAGGCTGAAGCTGGTCACAGATCAGTCACAGTAAGTCTTTGTCACTTGTCTCTGGGCGTTTCTTTGGCAGGACAACCCCTGCCCTTGCTAGTTAGAGGTTTCCACTTCCCTTTTATGCCTCTGCTCCAACACTCACAGTGGAAGGTATCAAGAGCCACACCATACACATCTCTAGGCTGACCATTCTATGACCTGGAGGCTTAGCTACTGCCAGGAGGGCCAAAAGCCTACTCAGTCACTCTCCCACCCCCCAGGCTTCAGTTCAACCCTGGTGTGGAGGAAGCCAGGAAACTCTGGAGTAGAGTTTGGAAGACTCTCTTGTATGCATTCAGATGTTAAACTCCATTGTCTTCTGGGCCCTTTGATTTCCCCAAAGGAATACTCTGAACTCGGTAACTATTACCTTCACCATCTGCAGTCTGAAGGCCAGGATTCTTAGGACAGAGATAGTGGCTCTGGTGTTTAGATTTATAATGCAGGGAGCTCTTCTCCCCTGACCAAAATAAAATTCTTCCGTGGTACATCCCTGGAGGCAGCATTTCTCTAGCCCCTCGGAGAGAGTCAGTTCCACCATGGGAATAGCTGATCTGGGCTGCTGCCCAGCACAGGCAGCATGACAATCTGGCAGAGTGCAGAGAAGGTCCTGCGGCTTGGGTGTCACCTGCATGTCAGGAGCAGGCACCTCGGGGCTGCCTCTGAAGGATGGGGCTTCTTTGGTTCAGAAGATAGGGTCTGTCTTTTGTGAGAAGGCTGCTGGTGGAATTTCGTCTTTCCCACAGCTCCTGGCCAGGGAGCACTTCTATTGGGGGGAGAGTATACATATCCCGAGAGCCCCCCCACCAGTTCCTCAGCATCCTATGTAGCCCCTCCTACCCACTTGAGCATCTTCACTTGTCCTGTAGACATTTCCATGCCTCCCACTTTAAGTTCCTTTTTCCATTGTCCTACTCATGTTATCTTAACTGGTACATTTAGAAAATATCAGAGCTAACTGTTCTCACTTGGAAGAAATTAAATATGTGAGAAAAGTTGCAGCTCCAGCACGAAAAACCACCTAAATTAATAATAAGGATTTGTTCCTAAGCAGAATTCAGTTGCAGCAGCCTCTTGGCGTTCTTTGTGAGTGAAGCTACTTTTAAGTAAAACGGCAGCTATTCATTACATATTCTGTTTTATT